AGGGTGGGTGGGCTGCAGCTATGGGCTGGAGCCAGGGCTGCACTGGGCTCTTCTCAGCAGGGGCTAGGCTCAGGGCACGGTCTATGGAGGAGGCTGCAGTCACCCCAAATTTTGCCGTAGCCCCGCTCCCAGTGCTGACACCACTGCCCACCCAGTGCAGCCCTGACTCAAAGCCCTGCCTCCACCCACGCGCCAGGAAGAGCTGGGGCTGCTCTGGGCAGGCGGTGGTGGTGGCACTGGGAGTGGGGCTGCAGCGAAATTCTGGGTGAATGCAGCACCCTCCGTAGCCCCTGCCCCGAGCATAGTCCCTGCTGAAAAGAGCCTGGTGCAGCACACAGCCGCAGTCCCCTACCCCCCACCCCGCTGTACCCTCCCGGGGTGCGCATAGAGGCAGCAGCTGCCCCCACCTCCACAAGCTGTGGCTCCATCTCATGTCCTGCCTTGCCCCAGCTGGGCAGTGCCTGCCCTGCCCCCTCCCTCACCTTGGGGGGGGATACTGATCTGCCCCCCCTGTGCCTCTTTCCTCCCCTCTCCCCTCCCACCATAACAGACTTACCAGCTGCACGCAGCTGTATTGGAAATCAGATTGGTATCAGCCGATGTGCCCCATTAAAAATCGGCTATCAGTATCAGTCCCCAAAATCTCTATCGGTACACCCCAACAGTTGCATACCTTTTGTGTTAACGTATTTTCAGGGACTCTTGAAGGGTGGGAATAGATCACACCTAAGGCACTGAACAGATGGAGTAGGATCTGGTCCCAAGTGGCTTCCACAAGGTCACACAGAAAGCCTGTGGCTGAGCATACAACCAATCCAGGCTAGTGACAAAGCTGGCAACCAAATGGATAGACTCCCCCTTTCCTTTCTGGGTTTAGCTCCGACTAGCACCAGGGGCCCAGACAGTTGATGTAGGAATCTTGTTTCCACCTTGCTCCCAACTATCCAGCCCAACTCAAGACATGAAGCTGTTCACAACATGCAGAGAGGGAATGCATGTGTCCCTGCGACAGGTGTTGAAATGCCTCCCTGCAATAGCTGCTGTTGTGTCACAAGAAACAAAGATGTCAAGAATCTATGGGGAGAATTTGGCAGGACGCAAATCAAGACATATCTCCCAGAGTCTATGCCAGGTGGAAACAAAAGTGCGAGCTGATTAAATCTGTGTACGTGTCAGCCGGGGAGAGGACTTCTTCCATCTGTTAGCTCACCAAGGAGTCCTTTGATTGTCATTGTAACGTGATTTCACTATGGCAGCTACAGGTTGACACTGATTACCTTGGAGATACGTGTATGCGCACGTGTGTGTGTAATGCCCACATCTCTCACACACCCCTAGCCCCCCTTCAACAGCAGCTCCTGCACTTGGGACTTTTGCAAATACAAAGATGAAAGAACAGGGAGGAATGCTGACTCCAGGCCTAAGTAAGTCATGGGGCTTTGGACAACCCAACTCCTTTCTCAAAAATACCTGGGTAAGCTTCTCTGGCTTGGATTATATAGGACATCAACCCAGATGATAATGAAAGCCCCCTTCAATCTTCAGATCTAGAAATCTATGAATGTGCTCTCATCCCCACTGCACTTCAATGTTTTGTGAATGAAATGGCAAGCAGATCATTGCCTTCTTCCCAGGGTGCTGAGGGTTTGTCCTGGTTTGTAGGATACTGAGGAGGTCCTTTCACAAATGCAAACAGTACCACATTTTCTCGAAAGAAAGCCAGATTACCTTTCAACTCCAGCACCTATGAAATGCAGGCAAAAGCAAAATACCACCTAGTAATGCACTAACAGCTCTATGGACTGCAAAGGCATAAAGCATAACTGTGATTGCAACAAGTGCTAATGTACCTGTGCTAGCTTGACCTAGCGCGCCAATAGAAGTAAAACCAATGAAGACATGGAGGTACTGGCTACAACAGGTACTAGCAACCAGAGTACAAACTGGTACCACTGGATCTTCACTGCTATTGCTCCTCACAGTAACTAGATGAAGGTAGCTTGGGTCTGTTGCCACATGCCACAAATCACAGGCCAGCAGATGAGGTGACACTTCCACTCTGGACCTCACACATCTTGTCACACTCCTTTTCTTCTTAGCACCAGTAAGGGTTTCACAGAGAGCAATTAGAGGTAACGTACCCCCTTGCCCTCCTTTGTCAGATAATTAAGATGCTGCTGAAGTCAATACTTTATCAGCAGTAGCCTAAAAATATACTATTTAAATCCGGGGGGGGGAGGGGGCTCTTCTACTGAGCACTTGGTCTGACACCATTTTCTATGAGGGTTAATGCTAAAAAATGCTTTCCTGTATTTCAGCTTTTATTGGCAATCCATTCTCATTAAACCCAATGCATTTGTCTTCATAATGTGTACTTCGCAATTACAATATCAAAGGGTTTGTATCTACATAATAAAAATGATCTATAGAATAATACAAGTGGAAAACATCATCACATAATGTGGTTATTAATGAAGCGAGTGGGATGCAGAAGACTGTTATTCCCTTGAGGCATGCTATGTCCTCTCCTACAGGCTGTTAGAAACAGAAGGAGGCTGCAAGGCCAGCATAAATAGGGATATGGTACTGAAATTAAACCAAGAGTTCCCCAAGTGCCTGGTTTTGTGGGAACTGCATTTTAAGAAGGATGTAAAGAAACTGGAGAAGATCCAGAGGTGAGCAGTGAAGATGCTAACGGAGGTGGAATGCAAGCCAAATGTGGAAAGGTTCAAAGAATGAGCCATGTTCAGTCTGGTGGAAAGGAGGTTTCAAAGGTTGCCATAAAGACGATGCAGAAACTTTGCTGTGCTTTGCCATGGAGGGCAGGGCACACAGCAAAGGTGCTAGACTGTGGCAAATCTGATTTAGATCAAATCTCAGGAAAGCTCCTTGTCATAACAACAGGACTAGGGAGAAAGCTGCCCAGGGTCATTGTGGAATCTCCTTCACTGGAGGTTTTCAAGAAGAGGTTGGACAGGTATCTGGTTGGGATGGTCCAGAAAGAGTGAATCGTGCATCTGGACAGGGACTTGAGACAAACCTGGAGTTATTTTGAACTCTGGGGGCCTATAGGAGTTCAAATCCCACTATGGGCCTTCCCTTACACACAGCAAGCACTTTTGGGAGGGTTGCCTGTGCTTTGGATCTCATGAGTTTTTGACTTGGACTCTAAGGCCTGTTAGCTCACAGACAAACCTTTATACACGGCCCTGGTCACTGCATTTCCATCACTGCATTTGTGTGGGTTAAATGATCCTCGAATTTAGGAGAGGACTTTGCAAACATGATGTTTCTCCAAGGCTGTGTGCGTGATCTGCAACATTTATATAAAACTGGAACACCCTGCATCTTCTACCCAGCAGATCAGCCCTAGAGATAGAATGGCCTTCAGCCAGCCAGGTGTGCTCGAGAGATAAGTACTATCCTTTAGCACTCAGTGAAGCAGATAACACTATTATTTGGCTTCTTGCAGGCTACCTTTCACCTTGGGTTCTCTGCATGCAGCAGATGGGCACATGCCATGCTGCTTGATTGACCAGGTGTATCCTGAAGGTGCAAGGCCATGCTGCATGGTGTAGCCGGCATATGTGAAATACAGGCATCTCCTGAAATACTGGATGGCTCTGGTATTTCGCGATATGCCTCCCAGCAGGCCCAAAGAGCACAGGAGTCTCTGCTCTCCCAAAACAATGCTTGAAATACAACCAAAAGGCTGAGTTAAAAATATCATGTACATCCGTTTGGCAGAGAGCCAGAAGCAAGGAGGCAACATGATTTACCTGAGATCACACAAGAAACGAATGACAGGGTGAAGATGAGGAATCATGTGTGCAGCACATGTCCTGCAGGACATATGCAACACGGGGCATCTCACCAGGAACAGGAACATAGGATGGCAGAGCTCTTTGGCTGTAGACCACAGGGGATCCCATTTCCAGCTCGCCATCATTATGAAACAAAGGGAGATTGCTCTGTCTAGCAGACTTTCAATACCTGCTACAATAGGGCTTGCTCTCAAGGTGCTGACTGCACCGCCCGGTAAAGCTTTTAAATTCTGACTGCTTTAATTCTTTTGTGTCTCGTGCAGACAGGACTGTAAGGAGCGCTGGCGGGTTGATTAAGCTGCCATTGTATGAGATTACAAGGCATGAGGGATAAATAAAATGGAGAGGTTACCATGGCCAGCAAGGACACTTTGGTCCACAAAGAAGGTTAAAAAAAGCCATTAGCAAAAGGCCAATAAGGGAGGAATTCCTAGTGCGGTTAAACTGAGAGCTACTGAAGATGGCCAGAGCAAGAGCAAAGGGGGCTGCTGCAGTTGCAAGGCAAGCAACAGAATTAATACAGACTGAAAACATAAACATTAAATAAAATAACCCTTAGCAAAACCGATGAACCTGGCGGTAAAGCTCAGTGTCCACCCTTGGGACCCATTAAATACTACTGCAGGCCAAATCAGTTGCCTTGGTTGAGGTTATTTGCTCTGCAGAGACTCTGTGATTCTGGGGCAAGCTGCAGAAGGAACGTTAATTCAACATCACCTCTGTCTCCGAGAGACTCCAGGCCAGCTGTGCTGTCCCGAGTGACGGGCTGAGCATCAAAACCCATAGGTGCATGCTTGAAATCAGGTGGAACAATGTACCTTAAGAGACACGACCAAAGTAGCACGAACAGTGAAAGCTTCGGTTCCAAGTGCTGGAAGTTTCTAATGGAAATCACTTCACTGATAAACTTCACTGATGCCTATTTCTGTTCTCTGCAGGCCCGCTCACCCACAGTACAGCCCCCACAGGAGACGCATCCAATGCAGGAGTGGCAGAAGGTGTCCAAATCCAGAGCTGCTAGGCCTAGAGTGGTAGAAGCTCCCCAGGTTCCCCTGGGGAACAGGTTCAACGCCCTGGCAGCTGTGATGGAGAAAGACAGTGAAATTGCCCCTGGTGGGGACGATGCCACTCCTCACATGACAAGCAATGGGCAGAGAGTGAACACCAGCAGGAAGAAACACCGGGTCCTCGTCATCGGAGACTCCATCCTACGAGGACTGGAAGGTCCCATCTGTCGGCCTGACCCCATGACGCAGGAGGCCTGCTTCATGCCTGGGGCTCGGGTTAGAGATATCACGGAGAGGATCCCGGCCTACATCCAACCTGCAGACCAGCACCCCATGGTTGTCATCCACATGGGGATGAATGACGCAGCCAGGGGCAACCCTGACTGCATTATGAAGGATTTCAAGGCTCTGGGGGACAAGCTTAAGGAGACAGGGGCGCAGGTGGTATTCTCCTCTCTTCTTCCGGTGAGTAGGTGGGGATGGCGACATGAGGCCGGCATTGGCGAGGTCAACCAGCACTTACGCAGTTGGTGCTGCCAGGCAGGCCTTGGATTCCTAAATAATGACCCATGCTTCCGGGCAGGGGGCTTGCTGGGGTGGGATGGGCTTCACTTCCCACCTAAAGGCAAGCGTATCTTCTCTTCCAGGTTGGCTGATCTCGTACAGGGAGCTTTAAACTAGCATCACTGGGGGAGGGGGCCACAGGAAGATGAGGAGACACCACCCGAGCAAGACAGGTGACAAATGCAAGGACTGGCCCTGTAAGAAACAGGGGTCCAAACAGTCTCCCAAATCGGGAGGTGGCACACGCAGCTAGGCAGGGCCTTAAATGCCTAGATACCAATGCTCATAGTATGAGGAATAAGCAGGAGGAACTCACCCGCAGAATAGCCACTTCAGACCCA